TCGTGAGTCGTGCTGTAACAAGGGCTGGTCAGGGTTGCGGTAGCGTGGCGCACAGCTCACAGGCCACATGACCCCTGTTGGGGTAGGACAGGAAGTAATATAATTAGGTTAAGATGATTACCAATTGGTGTACATCAGGATCTTATTGGAAGTGAAAAGGGTGGTTAGTTCCACTCAGCGGATAGGAGTAGGAGGAGCTGAGCATCTGTAGAGGAGGAGGAGGAGGACGACAGAGGACCCAGACGCCACCGAGGCAGTATGCTGTGGGAGATGGAGGTGCAGGGCAGTCCCTCGCATTCCTTTTGCACAAATGGCCCATAGCAAGCTCGGTTGCTTGCAGTAGCGACAGCCGAATAATAAACCATCAGACAGAGGGATGAGACTTTTGGGCTGTCCACCTTTGTTGGACCTCGCTACGTTCAAAAATGGTGGCCTTTTTCACACCTGCTGAGAGGGATGGCCAAAATAACGTTACAGCATTAAAAAACCACCTATGTAGTCAGTTGGTCTTCTGCTTTCTGCGCCTAACGTCCATCTCAGACACTGTGGACCCTCGTTTGCGCTGACGCAGCGCGCACACGCGCGCACATGGCGGCAGGGAAGGGGGTGGTCTGGGGTGGTAGGAGCAGTGGACAGCTCACCAGCAGCGGCATGCGCTCAGTCAGCAGTCGTTGATGATAGTAGCTTTCTTCACCATGCCGCAGTGAGGAAATACTTTAACCAGACGCCGAGCAGCAGCAGCAATTCAGGTGGACCTGGAGCAGTTACCTCAAACAATAAGGCTCGGGCCCTACTCTGGACAGCACCCTGGCACAACCGAGGTAGACTATCCCCTTGGACTTACTGAGGCAACGAAACTTGACCTTTGGCCCAACTAGCTGAATTTGCCTTGAAAGGCTGTCATGCCCGGCCAGTAGCGTGGCATCGGAGCGCGTGGCGTTTAGTGCGGCAGGAGGTATTGTAACATCCGCGGAGGACACGACTGTCCACCTAAAGTGTGGAGAAGACTCACGTTTGTGAAAATGAATCAGGCGTGGATTAGTCTGGATTTCAAACCACCAGTTCCTGACACAACTAACTAAATCCGCCATGAATCATGCCCCAAAGCATGTTATTATTTTTAACATAGGCCTCTGTATGGCCTTCAATTTAAGCTGCTTACGCTTCGCCACTCTGCCATGGGCCCCTGTACCGCCTCCTCTTGCTGCTGCCAGGTCCAGAGTGTGTCATGGGTCCCTGGTACGGCCTCCCATTGCTGCTGACTTCATCGCCAGACTCTGCCATGTGCCACTTTCAGGTCTCCTTACACTGTTGGTGGGTTCCATTTTGTGGAGAGGGTGCTGTATGGCCTTCCATGGTCTCGTAAGTAGATTGCACGGAGGAGTAGAGTTCGTTATTGGAATTTACTGTGAGGGACTTTTAAACCTAGGCCTGTGTATGGCCTTCATTGAAGCTGCTTCTGCTCCGCCACTCTGGCATTGGACTCTTGATAGTCGTCTCCCCCACCGCTGCTGCTGGGGGGGACTTTTTAACATAGGCCTCTGTATGGCCTTCAATTTTAGCTGCTTACCGCTCCGCCACTCTGCCATAGGCCACTGTACGCCTCCTCATGCTGCTGCCAGGCCCCGTAATCTGCCGTGGGCCCCCGTACCGACGTCCTCATGCTGCTGCCAGGCCCGTAATCTGTCATGGGCTCCTGTACCGCCTCCTCATGCTGCTGCCAGGTCCAGAGTGTGTCATGGGTCCCTGTACGGCCTCCCATTGCTGCTGTCTCCATCGCCACACTCTGCCATGTGCCACTTTCAGGTCTCCTCACACTGCTGGTGGGTTCCATTTGTCCATAGGGTGCTGTTTGGCCTCCCATTGCTGCTGCCAGGCCCGTAATCTGCCATGGGCCCCCCGTACCGACTCCTCATGCTGCTGCCAGGCCCGTAATCTGTCATGGGCCCCTGTACCGCCTCCTCATGCTTCTGCCAGGTCCAGAGTGTGTCATGGGTCCCTGTACGGCCTCCCATTGCTGCTGTCTCCATCGCCACACTCTGCCATGTGCCACTTTCAGGTCTCCTCACACTGCTGGTGGGTTCCATTTTGTCATAGGGTGCTGGCAGATTACGGGCCTCCTATAGCTGCTGCCAGGCCCCTAATCTGCCATGGGCCCCTAGAATACCACCCTCCTCATGCTGCTGCCAAGTCCTGAGTCTCTCATGGGTCCCTGTACGGCCTCCATTGCTGCTGTCTCCATCGCCACACTCTGCCATGTGCCACTTTCAGGTCTCCTCACACTGGCTGGTGGGTTCCATTTTGTCATAGGGTGCTGTATGGCCTCCCATTGCTGCTGCCCAGGCCCGTAATCTGCCATGGGCCCCCGTAACGCGACTCCTCATGCTGCTGCCAGGCCCGTAATCTGTCATGGGCCCCTGTACCGCCATCCTCATGCTGCTGCCAGGTCCAGAGTGTGTCATGGGTCCCTGTACGGCCTCCCATTGCTGCTGTCTCCATCGCCACACTCTGCCATGTGCCACTTTCAGGTCTCCTCACACTGCTGGTGGGTTCCATTTTGTCATAGGGTGCTGTATGGCCTCCCATTTGCTGCTGCCTCCACCGCCACACTGTGGCTCCACACTCTGGTTTTGGCCCCGTGACTGCCCCAAATGAGTGAAGTGTGCGGTGATTCTAAGATCGACGGCACTCATCTGCATGTCATACTGACTGACAGTATTATTTTTTATTTATTTTTTTCTCTTCCCCCAGCAGACTCCAAAGGGCATTTAAATTAAAGGTACAGTGTTCTGCACTAATATAAAGGCTCTCTGAAGCCTAGAAACACCCTTTTTATACGTTAATATTTGCAGCGGAATATAAATCGCCTCGAATCAAATTTATTCGGCGAATCAGCCGGAAAAAAAAAAAAGAATCGAATTTTTGAATTAATTCGCTCATCTTGCTAGCTTTAACATATGCACATATATACTGTACTGAGGTTATTGGCAGGTTTGGTATACACATATATGTGACCATATTAACAACCTAGGGCTGGCCCTTAGCTGGCCAGCTACAGCTCCGACTCTGCCTGAGCCCCATTGGAAGAAGGGGGACCCCAGAATCTACATCAGCTTTACCTGAGACTACCGCATCAGCTCTGCCTGAGACTACCGCATCAGCTCTGCCTGAGACTACACGCATCAGCTCTGCCTGAGGACTACCGCATCAGCTCTGCCTGAGACTACCGCATCAGCTCTGCCTGAGACTACCGCATCACTCTGCCTGAGACTACCGCATCAGCTCTGCCTGAGACTACCGCATCAGCTCTGCCTGAGACTAGCACATGAGCTCTGCCTGAACGACTACCGCATCAGCTCTGCCTGGGACTACTACCGCATCAGCTCTGCCTGAGACTACCCGCATCAGCTCTGCCTGAGGGACTACCGCATCAGCTCTGCCTGAGACTACCGCATCAGCTCTGCCTGAGACTACACATCAGCTCTGCCTTAGACTAGCACATGAGCTCTGCCTGAGACTACCGCATCAGCTCTGCCTGGGACTACCGCATCAGCTCTGCCTGAGACTACCGCATCAGCTCTGCCTGAGACTACCGCATCAGCTCTGCCTGAGACTACCGCATCAGCTCTGCCTGAGACTACCGCATCAGCTCTGCCTGAGACTACCGCATCAGCTCTGCCTGAGACTACCGCATCAGCTCTGCCTGAGACTACCGCATCAGCTCTGCCTGGGGACTACCGCATCAGCTTCTGCCTGGGACTACCGCATTCAGCCTTTCCTGAGACTACCGCATCAGCCTTTCCTGAGACTACCGCATCAGCTCTGCCTAGACTACCACATCAGCTCTGCCTGAGACTACCGCATCAGCTCTGCCTGAGACTACCGCATCCGCTCTGCCTGAGACTACCGCATCAGCTCTGCCTGAGACTACCGCATCCGCTCTGCCTGAGACTCTACCGCATTCAGCTCTGCCTGAGACTACCACATCAGCTTCTGCATGAGTGTATGCTTTCCTTGTGTTATCTGACTGCTTATGAACTGCCTCTTGGGATTACAAACTGTCGTAGAGACTTTAACTTTGCCCACCGGGGCTGGATTGCAAGTATTTTGGACTCTCTCTCCCTGCACTGCTCCCATTGAGTGACTGTTGTCTGGTTTAATAAAGCTTTAAGTGTTTGCCGTCTGCCTTGTGTGTTCTGTCCTGCCTACCGTCACAATACATATACATGATTTGTGCTCCTGTGGTTTTCAGGCCCCTCCCAGATGGCGTCAGATTGCCAGTCAGTACACCAGTCATCACATTTAACCCCTTCACTGCCAGGAAGACGCTCATACACAATAAACCTCCATTGCTAGTATAGTGTCCTGAACGGATCAATATCTTTGATCAGATCTGCACTATACCAGCAATTCACATTAGTATAGTGTCCTCAAAATGCTGCAGGTTAGTGAGATTCAGCCCCCGGCACTTGCCAGCACCTGCGTTTAGTCTCGACGCTTACCCCCCCCCTTTTCCCCCAGCAAGTGCAGTTGTCAGTAGGTCACTGTCACTGATACATTGCACACAAAACTGCAGTGTTGGCAGAATCAGTCCTGATCTCTGTTAGCACTGTGTCGGTAAATTTTGAGGACTCTCATATGCAGCAGAGTGCCAGTACTAGTGCCGCGCTACCCTTTTGGTGAACTGGCGAGCACCAGCGGTCTAGTACATCTTGGTCTTTCACATATCTCTTAGATTGTAAGCTCCCAGGATCAGGCCCTCCTAACCCTCTTGTATTGTTGCTGTATTGTCTCCCGTTATACTGTAAAGCGCTGAGCAAACTGTTGGCTCCATAAATCCTGTATAATAATAATAATACCAGCCCTGCAGTATGACTTGGTGATGTGCGAGTCCCATAAGTCCAGTACAAGTCGGTGTGATGGTGAGCCACAAGTTATTGTCCCGCGGCCCACCAAGAAATTCGCACACAGGCCCGTTGAGCTCCTATTAAATCCTTCCGGATGTGCTTGCAAATCCCGATTGGCAGTCCACAAATTCTGCAGCACCCGTACTTCCCCCACTCTCACTGCCCAACCTGGAATTCAGGTGGAAATAGCAAATTTTAAATACTCCCCTTGATTTTTGGAGCTGTTTTTCACAGAATTATCTGTATGCGTTGATTGTGGATCAAAGCATTTTATATGCACAACAATTTATCGCCACCAACCCAAATTCAAACGTTGCCAGGACCATTCGCATGGAAACTCATTACGGTTTTTTCGAATTTTTTTAACTTTTTTTTTCCCTTAGTAATACCCTCAACATGGGCATTACTAAGAAGAATGAATTGGGCGGTTTTATTGGTCCGCAGACCCGATTCATCATATGCCGTGTTCTCTGCTGCCATGGCCTGGCATAGATATGAGAGTATAATGTGTTTTATGCATTTCAATAACAATACACTCTGTCATCCTCGGGGGGACCCTGAATTTGACCGGCTCCACAAAATTCAGCCCCTCGTAAATCACCTTAACCAAAAAATTTGCAGATGTCTATTACTCCCAGCACAAAACATCTGCATTGAGGAGTCCCTCCATTCATTTTTCTGGCCGCCTTGCGTTCAACAATTTCTCCCCAGCAAGCGTGCCAGATATGGGGTCAAGATGTAGAAAACCTGTGAGAGGACAAAGGCTATACTTATAAGTTTCAGATTTACGAGGGACAAGATAGTCACGTGGAGCCCCCCGGATGCCCAGACTACATGGGGAGCAGTTGACAAGATAGTTTGGGGACTGTGGTGTTCATTTTTTGTTCCATATGGGGTACCACTTATACGTGGACAATTTTTATTCAAGCGTGCACTATTTAGACATTTTGTACAATCTTGGAACTGGCGCATGTGGCACCGCGTGACCTAATGTGTGCCCAACCATTAGAAGTGGGTGGATGCAGGGCGGTATATTCTAAATGGTGGGTGTAACGGTAAGCGTAGGCAGAACAGAGCACACGGAGAAGATGGGGAACACACAAACTTTATTGAAGCAACAAATTTGACAGACCACTCAATAGGGAAATGGCAGGGAGCGTGATGTGTGTGCGCAAACCAGGGACTATTCCAGGCACGGGGGGGGATCTTCAGCGACAGGCAGGCAATCTCCCCCCCTCGACTTGGGGCCTCTGCTGAGCTCCCTCCGTGACTGGACAGTGGATTGGAGACTCGGGCAACAGGTGGCAACCTACCACTGGGCAGGGGCCTCGGGCAACAGACGGCAACCTACCACTGGGCAGGGGGCCTCAGGCAACAGACGGCAACCTCCCACTGGCAGGGGCCTCGGGCAACATGCGGCAACTTACCACTGGGCAGGGGCCTCGGGCAACAGACGGCAACCTACCACTGGGCAGGGGCCTCAGGCAAACAGACAGCAACCTACCACTGGGCAGGGGACTCGGGCAACAGACGGCAACCTACCACTGGGCAGGGGTCTCGGGCAACATGCGGCAACTTACCACTGGGCAGGGGACTCGGGCAACAGACGGCAACCTACCACTGGGCAGGGGCCTCGGGCAACAGACATCGCAACCTACCACTGGGCAGGGGACTCGGGCAACAGACGGCAACCTACCTACTGGGCAGGGGTCTCGGGCAAACAGGCGGGCAACCTACCCACTGGGCAGGGGTCCTCGGGCAACAGACGGCAACCTACCACTGGGCAGGGGCTTCGGGCAACAGGCGGCAACCTCCCCACTGGGCAGGGCTTCGGGCAATACAGGCGGCAACCTACCACTGGGCAGGGGCCTCGGGGACTCAACGGGACTCTAGCTGTGGAGGCTGGCCACAGCACAGCTCCACCAGCTTTCTAGGGTCATTGGGTTCACAGGGGACTCAACAGGTAGCGATGGCTCAAGCACTCAGGGACACCACAGGTAGCTATACTCTGGGCATGCCATCAGGACACGGGTGGTCAGTGCACACACAGCGGGGCGGTTCGGAACACGGTGAGGTCGGTGCACACATCGGGGACAGTTCAGAACATGGGTGGTCGGTGCACACAACAGGAACAGTTCAGGACACGGGTAGTCAGTGCGCACAACAGGAACAGTTCAGGACACGGTCTGTGGTCAGTGCACACAGCAGGAATAGTTCAGGACACGGGTGGTCAGTGCACAGAGCAGGAACAGTTCAGGACACGGGTGGTCAGTGCACACAGCGGGGACAGTTCAGGACACGGGTGGTCAGTGCGCACAACAGGAACAGTTCAGGACACGGGTGGTCAGTGCGCACAACAGGAACAGTTCAGGACACTCACGGTAAGCAGCTTGCAGACCCTCAGCGGCAGGCTATGGCTCCAGACAGGGACGACCAGCGGTCAGCATTCCATGGACAACCAGCGATCAGCAGACAAGCAGCAGCTCCCAGGGCACTCAGCAGCAGACAGCCTCCAGGGACACGCAGCCATGGATAGTGTGCAGGATCCCTCAGCCACAGCTCCCAGGGCACTCAGCAGCAGGCAGGGTGCAAGGGTGCTCAGTAGACAGGCTTACAGACTGGCAGGGTCTCAGCTGTGGGGGTCTGACCTTTGAGGAAAAGGCTCATGCAGAGCTATGGAGACTCCCAACCCTGGGGTATTGTAGAGGGCTCGAGTCCTGACCTTTTGGGGGTCTGCAGAGTGCGCATGGGGGGATGGCTGGGGAGGCTCGGTCCCCCTCACCCGAGCCTCCCAGCATCTTTCTGGGAGCAGGATGATTCTACCCACATTGCCAGGAACAAAAGGGAAGGCTGCTTCCTGTGTGGGTCTCTTGAAGATCATGTGGGACGCGGCTAG